GAATTAGATGTCCCCACTGAACGAAAGAAGATGTCCGCTACACTTTTTAACACTCTTGACTGCGTCAACAACAGCTGAATCCATGATATCCCTTGTGTGTAATGCAAAGAGGTCTTTCCCTTCATCAAGAAAGGGATTTCCCATTTCTTCAAGGGACGCAATGAGACTTTTGCTCTTATGTACCACAAAAGAACCATTGCAAAAGTTAGCGTAGACATCTGGGTGTTTGGCTTGTAGGGTGCACATGTCACGATAATGCACAGATAGCCATCTGGCATAGTTCGGGTGATCAAGAGCAAACATCCATGGTATTATCTCCTTCATAGGCTTGATGAACATTGAAAAGTTGCCTTCTCTTATTGACCTGACCAATTTCAAAGAGAGGAGTTCTATATCTAGAACTGTGGACCAGTATAAAAACTGCGGGCACTCTAGCATGCTCTCTTTCCATTCTAAAAACGGCTTGGGTTCTTCAACATCTTTGGCGTGGTCGATGTATGCATTATGCATGAGCACATAAAGGCTTACTGCTGTTACTTGGTGCGCCCTCCGGGTCCGCGTTAAATGGCTAGCCTTTACGAAGGACTCCGCCACTCCCTGGGTTGCTACATTTGCATTGCATAGAGCTTCAGTCCAGCCACTTCCACCAAGCCATTTTCCAATCATCTTGAATACTCCCATTTCGATGTGTAGTGCGCCAAACATGATGACAAAATTGTCCTCGCTATATGTACCACCAAGGGTCCACTGGATTTGCTTGGCCAAAGCAAACAGAGGTGGTCAAGAGTAAGCACTGGAATCTGGTTAGGGTTGAGAAATTGTGTAGCATCTTTGATGACTCTCATAGAATGGACAATCATCGCAAAGGAATGTGCATTTTCCATAAACATTGGTAATAGTGAGATGATTGCTGGCTCGTGATTTGAAAGTGAAGACTTTGAGGCACGGTATGCTGCCCAGGATATGAAATCCTCTTCCCCCAACTCGCCCTTCGATAGGATTTCCTTCGCGTTGGCAAGCCAATCTTCTTCTTCAATGTTTCTTTCGCCAGGATTTGCGTCGACAGATTGAGATAGTTGAGATAGCTGATGAACTTCCGGTACATTATATTCAGTGGTGTTTAGGCACACAGGCAAAACATCTTTGTAGAGTTTCGGTAACTCAGCAAGTTTTTTAGAATCATTTCTCTTTGTTGGATCAAAGGTAGGGGTAGGTCTTTCATTGCCAAGATTATCTGAAGAAGGATGCTGAGTCAATGAAATGGCAGTGCCATGAAAGGAATCGCGGGATGTCGTTGCRCTAGGATTGTGGTYAATATTATCTGTCGCAGCCGTTGTGAACAGACCTTCTCTTAGTTTGGGTGGGCAAACAATGCCTTCACWTTCATACAATTCTAGCACACTGTTAGAAATGTCAGTAGATATAGATAGCAGCCTGTCGTATGAAATGCAAATTCCTAGATTATAAAACGTGTCTATAAGACTCTTATCCCTTGTCATTCCGTGAATTTTCAGAGCTGTATAGATAGACAGTGGACACTCTCTCCATCGAACATGATGAGTAGTTTCTCGATTACAGGACGTGATTTGGTATTAAATACGACGAGCTGAGACACTGTCCAGCAGGCCTGACTGTCGGCCATATCTACATTTGCTGTAGAGCCTTTCATAATCATACCGACTAGGGTTTTTAGAGATGCAGGAGTATAGCTTCATTCTGGCACCCTAATGAAAATGAGTCATTGAAAGAGTTTTCTGTTTTAAGAACTTCTCTTCGTACTATTTGTGCTGCTTTGGCCAAGTACCATGCATCTGAACTTCCTTTTTTTGCCTCCTTCAAAGCTCCTCCAATGTGTTGCCTCAGTACCAGTAGTACTTCTCTTCCCTCGTAGTGAGCTGTCAAGTCAGAATATGTTTCCAAGATCCTGTCCTTAAGTCGAGTTGAGTTAATTTTATTATCACACTTTACTCCAAGCTCATRCAGCTTTAACGAGAAGTATTTCACCAAATTAGATAATTTTAATACAGGCAAGTCTTGTGATTCAAGACTTTCGTCGATATAGGCGAAAAGTTCTGCAAATGCAAGCTCTTCTAATTCTATTGGTGGCCTTTCTGCGTCATTCTGCAGTTGTACTTTTGCTGTCTGCCGGGCTCGATTATATAATCTCACCAAGCACTTAGTGTGGTATTTGGCCTCAGCTGCCATTAAATCTCCACACGTATTTAACTTTGCTTTTAACTCGTTGTCATTCACCGCATCTATACAACTCTCAACCTTTTTTGTTCACATCAAATGTTGAAAATGAATGTAGATTTATGGGATTGTCTCCCTTGTCACAGTAAAAACAGTAGTAGTAGAGGGCTTTGGAAGACAATGTGGCTCTGGATCTTCTTGTTTTGAGTGGACTGCAAACGCTCCCGTCACTTTCAATCTGGGTATCGTCCTCATTAGCATCAGGCTGACCAGAAAGTTTTCTTTTCTTTGCTCGCTCAAGTTTCGTATTATTAAAAATGTCTCGGCACGTCTTATGCCATGATGCATTTCTCTGTCTAAGAGTTTCTTCTATCCCTAGTCCTTCGTCAAGTAAACTTAGATTCRACCATTTAGGAACACCACTAATGCTTTTAAACTCTAGAATGTTACTCGCAAATGAGGTATAGCCAACACTCCCATCTTTGCGCTTTGTATTTGCCGGACATTGCAATCCTTCTTTTGTTTTCCGCTGGCAAATGACACACTTGTTCCAATCCGTGGAGATTTCAACTAAAATGATTAATTTGACTCCATTATTTAACTTTTACTTAATACAAGTTGAGAGTTATGGTGACATGCAGTTAATCTTGATTAWTTTGATTGTAATTCATTCGACTAAGTTCAGGCTTTTATCTCGAATAGATTTCAGTCGAGTTCAAATAGATTCAGTCAAATAATTAAGCGCGATGTCATACTTTATTTAGAAATGACAAACGAGTTGAAGAGGTTATGAATTCCTAAGGTAAATATAGAAAAAAAAAAAAGAAAAAATTGATTGGATATAACCAAGAGAAACAAAATAATATTCTTACCTGCAGTAAGAATACAATTTGCATATCATACGTAATATGAAGATACAAAGGCCTTTTTCAAATTGATACTTTATCAAACCGATTTATATGATTAGCAGAAAATATTATAGTTATATATCTTACTCAAGAAGCCACAAAAATAGGAACTTTTTGATTTTTCGACACAGGGATCCCAAGCTAAAGTCGATTTTTTTTAAAACGATCACGTGATCGTCATTATTCAACTCAAAGCAAGTGAAATTGCTCACTTGACACAAATTYGATGTTTAGTGGTGGAAGTATCTCAAAACTGTCGTATTTTAGAGTGTTTTTATGTTGTAGCCTCGTTTCCATGTCGGAAATTCCGGGCATGCCCATTCCTGCTGTCCCAAGCGAATTTCGCTTGGCCCCATATCAAAAAATGTTTGTCCCAGGGAGGTTAACAATCATGCCAAGTTTCATGCTTTTATCATCAAAGTGAACAATTCGACCTTTTTTTTGACGTTAGCAGCTGGACTATAATGACAATATTTCCGCTTTTAGATTAATAATAAATAGCTTAATTCTTCTATACAATCCTATCTCTGTTTTCAGAGTAACTTCCTGTTGCAGAGCTTCAATCAAGTCTCGCATTAATATCGGGTTATTGAGATTACTTTATGTTTAAATTTACAGTTCTGTTTTCACTAGAAAATTTGGAATGAAATGGGTCCATCCGAACAAGGAATGGAATGATAAGAACAGAGCTCACACCACAAAATATTATGGAATGCTAGGGTATTGCCGGGCTATTCCAAGGTTGAAAAAAACTGGTTTGAGTTGGCATTACATTTTGGGGCTTTTTTAGGGTACGAATACATGCCATATCTTGGGAATATGTCACCTAAAACAGCCCCAAAATGCAATGCAATGCCAAATTGATCCAATTGAACATAACATTTTCTGGCGTAGCGAGAGTACCAGAGTTGGAGGTGCGAGCACACGCGTTTTGGCGCGAAAATTTCCGCCAAATTCAAAGGTACATAGCCATATAAGATTGGAAAACAATGGAAAAAATACGATTTGCAGTCAATTTTGCTCGCTACGCCCCAGAACTCGGAAATTTCAGCGCAAATGTTGGAAAAGTTTGCTTTTGTAGCCAGTGGCTTACTTTATGGTTTGACTAACGGGAAATGGCAACATTGTAAGAGTTTTCAAGGAGACTTTTAGTGCTCCATAAAAGATATTTAGAAGTTCAGCGATACGAACCTTGCAACAACAGCAATCCACAAAGATTGGGAAATGAATATGAGAAAAAACACCTTCAATTTAAGTCAATATGACTAAGGCCTCGTCCCACGTATCCGGATATTTTTGAATCCGCACCTTTTTTGTTGCGGATTTAAAAAACTTTGCGTCTACACAGCGTTTTCGAATCGTTTTAGACCGTCCACACGTATCCAATACGTATCCGGATTTCAAAATCTTAGGTTAACAGAGCATGCGCACTTAAACATGACCAAGAGCCCGCACTAAAGATTGTCGCCATTTTCGTTTGTTTGCGTCAGCGTACTCAAAAATATACGGATTCGACCGTCCACAAGACACCGGATTCACACCGTATTCAAAAATTTCCACTCTGGAGACCGTATTCAAAAAGTTACGGATTCGTATACCGTATTCGCCGGATACGTGTGAACGGAAGGCCAATCCGCAACAAAAAAGTAGCGGATTCAAAAATATCCGGATACGTGTGGACGGGGCCTAAGCTCTACTGTTACAGTTATCATGTGAAAAGCTATTGACGTAAGTAATCTTGCATTCAATCAATGGATAACACGTGGCACTACCGTCACCATGGTTATGAACCTTTTTCAAAATCACCTTGAATGTGAGATGTGAGGCTAATATGGAAAAAGCATCGAGAAAAGTGTGATTTCTTTATTCGTATTTTCATGCTAGCCTCAAGTTAATTTTGAGAAGGCTCTGTTGCAAGCTCTGTGAACGTCATCAAGATATAAGCATATAGCTCTATGCTGTCTTTTTGCTCACATTGACGAATCGCCACTCTCATTTTACATAAACCTATTTCCAAAAAGGTTGAGGGCGCGAACAGCGAATGGCGATCGGTGTTTGGCGATTGCACGACCGAAAGGAGGGCATACATCTCGACACTAATATTTGAGGTGTTTAAAATGTTTTCGTCGACTACAAACAACACTAAATATCTCTACAATAACCTGTGTTATATCTATAAGAAAAATAAAAAGGAACATCAGTAGTTCCAGCTATTCTTGGATCTCGGAATGAYCTTGGAATCTCCTATCGCTAATCCACTATCGCTTGTTACCGATCGCCGTTCACCCCTTCAAAGTTTTTTGAAGTAGCTGATGAAATGATGTTGCAAACGCTATCATTTATTGTTACCCGTCTACGTTGTCTTTCAAACTTTGGACTCTTTAACGTCAAGCTGCAATAGTGGCCGATGCGATAAGTCATTCAACAGCATGCTGTAAGCTTGCAGTCTTGAATACTATGCGATTCTATCACGATGTTTACTGAACATCTCGTAGCCATGGATGTTCTAAACATTGCTTAGCTGTAGCTCTTCTTTCTGTGTTGTAGTCTAACATGGGCTGAAGAAAAGACTTTAATTCTTCGGCTTCTTTATGTGGCCATTCATATTTCTCGGTGAGGACTTCATACAAGCCCCTGAAAGGTAAGCATTGTGTTGGTTGATAGAGGGAAGAGAAGGATGTAGTGAGGATTCCTTTTATTAAGGTGGGGAACATCAGAGAATGTGAAAGAAGAGCAGAGCAGAGCAGAGCAGAGCAGAGCAGAGCAGAGCAGAGCAGAGCAGCTCTCCAGAAAGAGTGTCAAACACTCCAATACTCACCAAGGTCTTAGCTTAGTTATATGTTTGAGTTCACCTGAAAGAAAACAGAAAATATTAAGAACTAATTACCCATGACTAGGGCAGGTTTAAGGCAATATGCATTACTCTATCCGAAAATCTAGTTTTCAAAAAAATATAATGATTTACCGATACACTAAACTAAACAGACTTCAATTTTCTGTGCTCAAGACACGAATTTGGCGTAGACCACGTAAWCCATGTCTCAAACATTCTATCACTAAATCAAGGATGGTGGCATGGGTGGCGTAGTGGTTTACTGCTCGTCTATCCCCACTGTGGTCCGGGTTCAAGCCCCGGCTCAGACTGGATCATATGTGAGTTGAGTTTGTTTGATTTAATGGAAGGTAATATCGGAGGTTCTTGTATAGCGCATTTATACAACGTCTCAATGCGCTTCACAATCGTGACCAGTGGATGACTTTACGGACTGCAGATTAAGGCACTAGTAGCATCCGTGAAGCTTACAACCATGAGTGATTTGATAGTACGTTAGTGTTATGCCTCCAGACRGGGATAGGCTGTTGAACCGGAAGACAATCCCCTACTCTTACACGAATAATTCAACAGGTTCTTTTATGTCCCCCATTTTACTGCAGGTTAGGAAGGGTTGGGAGACAGGGCCTACGGTTTAAAGTCCTTATCCGAGAAAACTTGAAGGTCTAACCATTTGCAGATTACTATTATTACAAAGGYAGCACCTTCTCCTCAGTTATTATAAGACCCTGAGTATTGGTCCGGCCGAGGAACCACGACCTCTCGCACAACCGACCGACGCTCTTATTAACTGAGCTAATCGGGTGTTGTTCTCTCMTAKGCTACGAGGGTTTTCTTCAGATTCTCCAGTTTCCTAACTCCGTAAAAATCAACATGTGAGTTGAGCGTTGTATGTTGTAAATATAGAATGTAGTKGTAGTGTGTGTGGAGTATACTTCACAGAAGAGCCCTGTACGGGGAGTGGTGGTAGTAAATATATAAGTTATTTAATGAGGATTCTTTATCCATGTGGGGCAGATCGGTACATACCTTTCTTATTAAAGAAATCTTTGGAGTATTTTCCAGACAAAGCGATATGTTTTGGYATTCTTCCAATAAGTTCGATGATATGTGCCAGATGATCTGAAATAAATGAAATGAAATAAATAATCTGAAAAAGCTCAGTGCTGTAAGCGTGCCTTACCGTGACCGTAATGTTTTCTATAATTTTAATTGGCTAATCGTTCTCTCGTAATGTGATTGGTCTGACAGTACCGTGACCTTGGCGTGACCGTGTCTTGTTTAAACYATATTCTGGGTATTTGATTGGATCGGGAGTAAATCCTCGAGCAGTATGATWKRTCTGGCGTTTCCCTTGCCGTGTCGTGAGCTTTTCACAGTCATATGAAGACATCTCTAATAATTATAGCGTACGGCTATTCAAAAGAGAAAGCCCGAGGACATTTATGACCGGAAWGGATGAACTACGGTATAAACCAATGTTCTTGAGCAAATACTAGCATGCTAGTGACTGGCACATRTGACTTATTAATGTGCCAATATAAAATCCAAAACCTTAAAAGCTGATGTTACACGGGACGATTCGCAACGACGATTTTTCGCGATACGAYTCGTCGATTTTTAATACATGTTACACGAGTCAACTTTTTGCGCAACGTTCGAACGAAAATCATCATGTTACACGGGACGATTATTGGCGATTTCAAAACCGCCATCTTGTTTGYCGACATCGCCTCGCTTTAATGAGAGTATTGAACTGCATTTTGGGTATGCGTTGCGCGAAAAATCGTTGATGAAGCTGAAGCTGTTACGCGAATCAACTGACATAAAATTCGCCATTCAGTGTTGCGARTTTTTGAAGCTGAATCAAAAACTTGCAACGCGTTGCCGAATCTGAAAATCGTTGTAGATGGCATGTTATACGACATCAGGTTTTCGCGCAACGGCGCATCGTGAAAAATCGTCGTTGCGAATCGTCCCGTGTAACATTGGCTAAAGTAAAACAAAATACAAGCAAACAAATACATACCTTCATCTCTTGAATAGTCCTCTCCTGAATGAGGTTCAAATAAAAAGTCTCCTGTTGCCAATTCAAATGCCTGCGTAAAGGAAATGCAAAAACAAAGGCTATGTTTTACGTCATGTTAATGTAGCTAGAAAATAATTGCATGTTCTGTCTAAAGGCTCACGACTGACGACACTCAGGAAAACCCTTGAGAAAAAAGGCCCTGTTACACTGTGCAATTTTCTCAGCAATTTGTTTTGCAATGCCGTTGTGTGACAAGTTGCTGGAGAATTTGACAGTGTAACAGGGGTTGTCTCGCATTTTTTGTTGTTGCGCGTAGCGTTTCACGAGGTAGAACTGGATTGCAGCAACTGCTAACGCCACTGCACAGTGTTAAGATCACCCATCACCCCTCCAACAACGTTTCTCGCAATTTTAAGGCATATTTTTCAAGAACACAAGAACACAAGAACACAAGGGCACATTTCTCATTTCCTTCCAAGGAGCCAAAAAAGTAAGTTGCTGAGATCGCGTTGCAGTGTAACTACTTACTTCGGCCATTTGCAACGCTACATTTTCAAGCATTGCGAGACACGTTACTGAGAAAATTGCACAGTGTAACAATAACTAAATCTTCAAAGCAAAGAAGTAAATACCAACTACAAACTCTGCTCAAATATGCCGGCAAGTCCATGAATAGATCTCTTTACCTTAGTAATTATGTTTTCAAACCATGTGTCATTTCCTAGARTATTATTTTTTTGTTTAACAGTTGCGCATCAAAAAAACTCTACACGTTTAAGCCTGGTTCACACGAGCAACGCAAACGCAAGCGCAAACGCAAACGCAAGCAATGTTCACACGTACAACGCAAATGCAAGTAAATTAAGATACGCATGCGTAGTAGTGATTGTTTATAGTTCACACGTATTTTCCTTGCGTTTGCGTTTGCGTTTGCGTTGCTCGTGTGAACCACGTCTTGCGTTTGTGCTTGCGTTGGCGTTTTCTCCGGTTCACACGTTAAAAACGCAAACGCAAACGCAAGCACAAGAAAATGRAAAATTTTCCATTCCTTGCGTTTGCGTTYGCGTTTGTGTTACTGTAGTTCACACGTAGTTTTCTTGCGTTTGCGTTTGCGCTTGCGTTTGCGTTTGCGTTGCTCGTGTGAACCAGGCTTTAGACCCCTTAAATGTGACATCAAAGCAGTTCGACTGGGGRAAAAACAAAAGAATTCTAATCTCCTGAGAATTGGGACCTTTTGCTTTGTCCCCCAGATTGAGCCACATTCCAAAGTGCTGCAAGGGGTATATATGGATACAACTCAAACAAAGAATATTATTCTCAAGAGAAYGACACGTKGTCTGAAATTGGAMAACATGATTCCCAACGTACAGTAAATAGAATTAGCAAGCCCATAACCACAGGTAGCCCACAACCACCTGACTTCCCTGGACGAGGTAATACATACCATACATGCAGTACTCCATATATCAGATGGCGGTCCATATTTAGCACCAATTAATACTTCCAGGCAGCGATACTGGCGAGTTTGTATTTCCTCAGTAAAATGATGATGCTAGAAAAAACAGAAAGAGGATTAGAATATGACCATTATCTAATGTGATAAGAAAGTGGGGAAAAGATGTTGCTGCAAGAAATACGTTATCTGGATATTAGTTCATTCTAGCTGCTGACAAAAATCCAATGTCCAGCTACATTGGAGCAATCAGCACCCATCAAGAAAATGGCATACCCTCTAGCCAGCCAATCAGCACTCGGCTGCAAAGAATGGCATATCCTCCAGCAAGCCAATCAGCACTCTGCCACGATGGCTTACTTTCTGCCAGCCAATGAACACTCAGCAACAGGAATGGCATATCCTCTAGCCAGCCAATCAGCACTCTGCCACAATGGCTTACTCTCTGCCAGCCAATGAACACTCAGCAACAGGTATGGCATATCCTCCAGCCAGCCAATCAGCCATAATTATGGTATATTTTCTTTTATACTCACGTGCCTGAAGGCTCATGCAACTTCATAGTACGCTACTCAAAAACATTGTATAAATAGTATATAAATGCAATGTTATACCAAGAGAAAATGGACAAAGAGAAGGAATCCCCGCGCCCCATCATGAGCACTCTTTGATGCTATTTTTAGAATCATTCATGCTATTTTTAGATTCATTCATTTAATCGGGTTTATTTTTTATCTATTTATTTATTATTTTTCACGCGCCTACTGCACATACTGCATGCGCTCTAAACTGTTTGCTCCCGTTTCCTTGTGTTTTTCAAGAAAACGTGATGAGCAAACAGCAAAGAGAGCGTGCAGTATGCGTGTGCAGAAAAACAAATAATGGCAAAATTGACTCTAAAAATAGCCTCAAACGGTGCCTATGAAGGTTACAAGCATGAATACCAGAGATTCCTTGTCTTAGTTTCTTTTTCTCTTGGTWATATCATAGTTAATATCTAATACATACCGTCCAGCATGCATTCCCAAGATCAGCAATCTTAACTCTAATATCATCTTCATCAAAATCAACTTCCTCTTGGTCCCCTTCGGTACTTTCGTGATACGGAGAAATGGATGCTGAAGGAAAGACARACATTTTGTTATTCATAGGAAATGGTACACTTTACTAGAGGACTGTGTAAATATGGTGTCTTACCTTTTTGGTCTAACGGAGGCTCTTCTTCCATCAGATCAGAACTATTGTCATCACCATTAATTGAGGGTTTTTCTATTTCTAGCAGATATGAAGAAAAGAGAAAAAGAATAACAATAACGCATTATTTAAGGAAGCAAAAGAGAAAGAGCCCAAGATCTGTGGTATCATATCTATTATTTACAAAAAGAGCTTAAAGCCCCGTTTACACTAGCGATTTTTGCTGCGATTTTTGCTGCGATTTTGTCCATAATAAATAATGGCAAAGAATTTCCTTGTAAAGTTTTTTTCAGGATACCAAGATTTTCCTAGACGAATGTCTCTTTCGAAGGATGAGACAAAAGATTTCATATTTCCGAAAATTGCCACAAAAATCGCAGCAAAAATCGCCGCAAAAATGGCCAGTGTAAACGGGGCTTAATATGGTTCAAACAACGGTTAATGAGGACCTCAACATTATTCAGTGCAATAAAAAAATCAATATTTTACAACCATCACTCTGCCTTCCATGATGTTTGCGCCACACATTTGACTACATAAGACTCATCACYCATGTTGAATTTTACAGAGGGAGGAAAGACAGAGTACCAGAAGAAAAACCMTCGTGGCAAGGGAGAGAATAACAYTTGAACTTGCATATGCAGCAGACAGTAGAGAATCGAASCTGCAGCGCCAGGTATTAGGACAAAATAGTGCTGGATAGCGCTGTAGCCACACATGCCGAACCGTTCATAAATGCAATGATTAGAAAATACTATGTCTCTCTGCATAGTAATACATAAGGCAAAGATATTTCATTAGCTATTCCTAATATTACCATATTTCTTTTATCCTAAAATGATGTAAAACCTGAGTGCTTTTAATATAGAAATATTTATAAGATAAAAGATATAAAAGTATACCATAAAACACTGGAATCAAGGGAGACAACCAATTTACTCTACCCACGTGATGCCAAGCTTAAGAATGGAATCTAGATACAGTATGCCAGAGGTGAGTGCACGCCCTAATTACTCGTCATGCAGAGCTTAAAAGTATTCAGTTACCAACTATTTAGTTGTAAAAAAAGCGAAGAATTTACTGGCAAGAACCAAACAAAGACACAGGTAATTTGCAAAGCTCCAGTAATATCCACTTTTTTGTACAAAATAGCAGTAATAATAATACATATTTGACTTTGTTCACAGATATATGATGTGCACTCTTGCACAATATCAGCCCTGATGCACCCTTCTTAAAATTGTCTTGAATAGCTATCATGGAAATACAAAAGAAATGCCACAAATTYCATTACAAGAAARTGTTTAAGTATTTTTATGTTAGCCTCGTCCACATTCAAGACCAAAGAAATGCGGCGTATTCACCTATTAGGCACTCTTAGTCCAAACGGGATTAATGAACGCTTTGCTTTCAACTAACCCTTTCTTTTGTCTTTTGATTGTTTGTTTTTGTTTCCTTGCCTACCTTGCTCTCATTGGTTTCTTTTGCCTTATTCTATCATATAAATACTCCTTTCTACCACCTCTTTCTCTTTTACTCCGACGAAGGACTAGCGTCCGAAATATCAGTAAGTTTTTTCATCTTTTCGCGGTGTATAATTTACCTTTTTATCATTACTGTTTCATTAGAAACACCGACGCTAGTTTTTAGCTAGTTAATAGCTTCTTTTCGAGAAGGGTCTATCAAACCAATAAAAAAAATCTGCTCACCTGTGTTAAGTTTGTTTTGTTGTTGTTGTTGTTGTTTTTCATCTTCATCAGACACCACACACTGTTCTTGTAGCATTTTACTACTCAGTTCTTCAATGAACTCTTCCTCAAGTTCATTATTTAGTTCACTTGGCGCTTCATTATCAGAATTCATCTCTGATTCATTCTGAAGCTGACAAAGTTCTTTAGACGATTCCTCAACACATTCATCTCTGACATTTTCTGTGGTACTTGTTTCTTCGCAGTCTGCTTCACAATCCTCTTCACATTCCTGTAGCATGCACTGTTCTATCTCATCTTGCTGTAACTTTTGTTTTTCGATTTGCTTTTTTAATTTTTTCTTCATTTTCTTCTTTTTATTTTTAGATATTTTTGTTTCACATGATTGCTGGAAAAGAGGATAAGGAGCTATGAACAAAATATTAAAAATAAAAGCAAYCAAACAACAAACTAAACAGGTTTAGCTTTACTTAGTAGTAATAAATTATGCTTTCGGTGTGCGTAATGAAATAGAGAATAAGAGAAAAATATCAAATGCCCTTAGCTTGGCGGGAATCGAACCTACGTCTTCGGTATTCTAGTCCGATGTGTTAACCACTACACTACAAGGACCAACCACGCTGGTAAYGCAACCGGAATATGAAATGTAGGGTACTCGTGAGGATTCCAGAGCGATATTTTTTTCTCTGTGGGTAAGTTGAACACCGTAAATATGTACGCAAAGGATAGACATAGTATAGTATGCGTTCGGTGTGCTTTCATTAGCTTTGCTTAGAATATTCATGTGTTCCAGTGAAAGTCTGTGGAATTTCAGTGTTAGTATTATTAATATTTTCTTAAACTGTTGTTATTAACTATTATGAATAATTTGGTTATATAAATGGGTCTGTATATTAATCAAAGGATACAGCAGTTCCCTTAGCAGTTTTAAGGATAATTCTGACATTAAGATGGGAAAGTTTTTTGACTTCCAATGAAAAGAAAGATAACTGTTTTCTAATTCCCACTTCAAGCCATTTTTTTATAAAGTGGAAGAACTAACCTGCATGACAGATGCTGGTGCTGTGCTTACTATAAACCATATCAAAATACATGGCATTAAAAATAAATAAATGAATGGAAGGAAGGAAGGACAGAAAGACAGATTGATGAATGGATGG